GCTCCAGTCTCACATCAATGATTCCTGGGAATACTACTGGATGAACAATGACAAAAACTTACTTCAAAGAAGACCTAAGCCATATGATAACACCTCCTTCAACAAACACCGCACCTGCGAAGTCCAAATTGCGAGACTGCGAATCGGCCATACTTTTTTCTCTCATTCTCATATAATCTCAAAATCTCCAGTTCCTTTCTGCTCTCAATGTCAACACTCCCCCCTTGCAATCGACCATATTTTACTTTCTTGCCCAAAAACCTATGCCACACGCATCAAAATTCGAAATTCCCTCCCTCATAACATCCACCCTTTATGTTCAGATAATCCAATAGTGGTAACAGAAATTTTAAAACTCTTCAAGAAATTACATTTAAAAATTTAAAATTGCCTAGTCCCCGACGTAAATAGCCTAGATGCTGATCGTCGTTAACTAAAACTAACTAACTGTATGTATGTACGTACGTACGTATGTATGTGTGTATGTATGTATGTATGTATGTATTTCAGATTGTCTTTTCTCTGAAGGCTGGTCGCGTTGTCATCGGGCTCCGATGTTTAGTGCATTTTTGGCTTCCCGGGTTCGTAAAGTTATTATCTGCCAGTACAATATGCAACGTTTGACTTCAGCCGCCTTCCTGCTCTTTTGTGCAGAGTGAATTCTGATTAATCCTCCCAAATTAGTGCATTTTTAGTGTGCAATTTTCTCTTAACCTCCGAAAAAGTTTCAGCCAGCGTGAGGATTTTTCAGTTTTCAGAGCGTTGAGCGGCAGTTACTTATTAAGTTTCTTGAAACGAAACTTCTGGGGTTCGCTTTTCCGTAATCTCTATAGAGCTCTATGGTAATCAATTTAAACTGAACATGATGAACTTACTTAAAAATTCAATAGTAATAGTTAACGGACTAATAATCGCTGGATTTCCTCCCTTCCTTGGATTCACGAATGGACTGCATTTTGCAATTTGGAACTATAAATTCTGGCTCTTCTGGAAAAACACTTATGCGCATAGGGAAACTAATGGCACATATGTTTTTTTTGAACCGGGCTAGAATTTATAGTTCCAAATTGCAAAATGAAGTCCCATTAAATGAGTAGAAGTTAACTATTTCTGGTATTTAGATTGATAATGCTAATATATTTACCATCAGTTTATTTTCAATTGCAAATATTTGTTTTGTCATTATGATTCTGGGCGGGTGGGTGAACTGACGAAGCGATAATTGTATCACATTTGGAGAGTCAAGATCTTGATTTTTGGTGTTATTTGTTGCTGAGGCCGGGAGAGGATTTAGTTGGAGAGCTTTAGTCGGCCGGCGCGGCGCGGCGCGGCGGCCGTTGGGGCATGTAAACAGTCTGGGGAGGCGGCGGGGAGAGGAGGGGGCGGCGGCCGTTGAACGCGGGCCTGGGACTCCGACCCAATGACCTTATTATTATTTTACCAGACGTCGAACTCGAACTTGGGCCGGCCGTGGTCGCGGTCTCGGCCGCTGGTAGCGCGCAGTCGCAGTCGTCTCCGAGCAACGGTTAGTCCCGCGAGTCCGTTCGGCGCCGCCGCGACGCTGTTATGTCTGTGTCCCTTCTTAGCGCCGCGTCGCCGACTATCAACCCCCAATAGAAGCACTGCCCACTCGCCGCCTCTCTCCCAACATGCACCTCGCCACCGCTCCCGTTCTCGGCCTCTTCAACGTCCTCCTCGGACTCGCGTCCTTCCCGCTCTCCGCCGGCACCGGCATCTTCGGTGAGTACAAATTCAACTGTGCTTTTTTAAAAAACAAAAGAAAAAAAATGGGGGAAAGAAAACTTGGATATCCGCGACTTCTTCGAGTACGAGTTTTCTAACTCCTCGTCGCAAGGTTCCGTAATAGACGCGTGCCTCGGAAACTCTCCAACTCCGAAATATAGAAGGGTCGTTTCGACGGATTTGTGCTGAATGGAACTATGATCAATTGGAAAGATGGGATGTGGTCGATAGTCAAGGGCCATAAGAATGATTGGGAATTTAAAAGCGCCAGTGACGTCAGCGGCAACCGGGGAGACCGGACACGAGGGGGAGATCAGTGGCGGGACTCTTCACCCCGTGAGCCCTGTCCACAATGTTCTTGTCACATGCCCACGGCTCACGAGTTAGCACTAGGTTCCTTATGATTTAATGTAAAATCCCGCTTTTCCATTTCCTCAAAAGGAACTACACCCACTTTTACATTGTTCCTTATGCAGCTTCCACGAGCACATCCTATCTTTCCACTTCCACATAGTACCATTCAGCATAAATACGTCCATTTGTGGTGTCTGCAGGTACCCTGTCATTAAAATCCACTGCTTTTTTGCTTTGAAAAATAGGCACGATTCCGTTCAAGCGATCGTAAAATTATTAATACTGCAGGTTAGGGCTTGAAAATTTAACCCCAAGGATAGCGATCTTAATCGCTCTTTGAAAAGCTCATTTCTTTAAAAAAAAAAGGCTTCATACATAGTTGGCACTACGATTGAGGGAGGTTCAAAGAAATAATTGACACAGCACCATAAACAGGACAATCGTGGCCATCCTCGGGAAAAATGCACTTTTCTGCCAGATGGATTACGTTATTTTCATAAGGCGCTTTGAATTTGAAAACTAAAGAATGATAAAAAAACAAAACGATTCGAAGGACGAAATTTTCGCCCTACACTCCCTGTCGCATCCAAATGGAAAGTTACTCAAACGACTTCCCACGTCTTGGAGAAGAGGGACTTGCCATGTTCGAACAAACGCAACATGTTCAGACAATAGACATAAACCCGTAACGGATCCTGAACGACCCAGATACATTGGATACACTGGTAAGTTTTCTTCACTTGCTCCCTCCTCATAAAAATTGCAGACAAAGAAGAATCAGCATGGAGATCATCCTGTCCTCTCACTTCATTAGCTAGCTTGGCCTACGTTCTAAGAGGGCAGGTTCCTTGGGTGTTGCATTTAACAAAGCAGTTTATGGGTCATTTTCCCTCTCGAATCAGTTCGGCATACTCGACAATCTTATACAGGGTTATCCAAAGGTCACTAACTTAGCACCACTGCAACTTCTTTTCTATTGGACATAGAAAGTTGAAACTGTGGGGGATGTTCCTAAGTCTAAAGCAGCAACTGTTGGGTCCCCGAAAAATTTTTAAAGGGGCCGGGGTCAACTTTCGTTTTCAAGTCGCAAACCCTCTCTTGGTAAAATTTTATTCAAGAGATAATAAAATAGAAAAATGTTGGTCGCAGGTCAAAATGTTGATTTCTCACCAAATGCCGGCCTATGAACGTTCAAACAAACGGTAATTCGTCAACTCCGTTTTCACTGTCGGATTACGCAAAAACTCGGAATCTTGGGGTTTACGGGACGAGAAAAACGATTCTGGCAAGTGACTTCGGGATAATCCAGTACAATGCTTAATGATTGAAGACCGTTCAGGGGTCGCCACTCAGGATTCACATCAAGTTTCTCCGTCACAAGAGACATCCAGCGTAGGTTCACGTCACTTCTCATCATTCACAGTCATTGCCAGCCTATAGCGCCTACGACCTTTATGACGACTGTGGGCCAAAGCAAAAATGATAATATTTGAGCCACTACTTCACATGCAATGTCGATCACAAATTATGGCACACGTAGACTCGACAACTTTCACAGATTCGCTCGGGCCGTATCCATAGTGTCTTGGTAGTAGCCTCCTGCCGCCACAACTCATGGACCAATTTTTCTTGTCGATCACAACGCAGCCTAAAAAATTGTCGCGAACGGTCCTTGCGGACCGACGAGCTCTGCTGTCGGGTTCATCATGATAGGCTCCAAGAGGTAACTCTTCCAACGATGCTTAAGCTGCGACACATTCGATTCATCGCTATCAGCATAGGAAGGCTTCCTAATCCGGTCAGGAACATTGGCAACTTTTCGAGGATTGGACAGGGTAGCACAATACTATTTTCTGCGGTCTTTGGCTTCAGCGGACTTGGAGAACTTGTTATGAGACTCGTGAATGAGAGTTGGTGCTAGGTAAAATTGTCCGAACCCAGAATTTCCAAAAGTCCGAAACGGGGAAATATCATTTATGTCCGAGACAAAGATGAGTCCATGAGTGGGCGAATGCCCAAATGCGAGATTAAGCAATGGGCGAGTTGTAATTGGATTTTAAGGTGTAGTTTGGCAAGCTGTTCGCGAATGTAGCCATTGAAGCAGCCGTGCCGAATCATGGAGGGATGCAGGTTAGGAGATTATCCTGATAGAATTTTGGATAAGGATCAGACAAAGTCTTTCATTTAGAAAAATTGCTGATTTAAAGCTGTTTAATTTTGAATGGTTTTAAAAGTTGGTTTTAAAAGCTGTGTAAATTTCAACTTTCAGCGGACTGAAACAGGGCTAATATTGTCCGCTTGCCATGAAAAGCTGAAAACACTAATGTCTCCTTGTTCTTAACAATTTTCTCTATCAATGTCACACTCCTTATAGCAGGACACAACCGTATATTGAAGTAGCGCAGAGCGATCGACTTAAAGTGCACGGTGTTCTACCAATGCTGACATGAAGGCGGTGCACATCAAAAGTGACGAAACAGGAAAGCATTTGCAGGCTCCCGACGTGGAGAATGTAGAGGTCGGAAGATTTTTGGAAAAATTAAAAAAACACGCAACAACCCAACCGTGATATTTATGATGCGTTCGCATCTACCTTATCCGTCAAAATCGTATACGAATTTTTGCATCGGACGGTGTGCTTTTTCAGTGGCAAATCATTTTGATCTCTTACAAGGATCCATTTCCGAACTTATACTGCGGTAATTTACTCAGAATTCACAAAAATTATCCTTTTTACGATGCTTCGTTTAGTATTTCCTCGAACCACCCTTGATCACTTAGGAAACCAGATGGGGCCTCTCCTAAGAAAAAATATGTTTAAAGGAAGGACTATGAACATGACACCAAGTTCCTGCTGAGGTTAGAAAATGATTCAGTAGGGAATCTGAAAATTGATATTTTTGACCCCAAACCGATTTTTTCCCGTTTTGAGCATCCCAAATTTCGTCAACGTCAAAAACATGAATTATTTTGCCGTGCTGAGGAAAAACGCACTTTGCACCTTCGAACGTTGCAAAATTCCCTTCGATTAAAGACATATTTCCTGGTAAACCAACGAATATTTTCCGTCCAACTATCCAGATACTTTCGGTCGCAATCTCACCGAAATTTCTAAAAAATTTCGAGGTGTAATATTCCTAACTTTCCTCAGAAATAAAAATTTATCGGTGAAAATTTAGCGACTCTTGAGTGTCCATACGGTGTATTCCCTTGGCACGGCAGTAATAACCGGTAACGCACGGGGAAGAGAGGCGCTGATAGGTACGAAATTGCGTTCTCGTAACGGATAACAAGCGCTCATGCAGTCACTTTGAACGTTGAGCGTAAAATCGGCGGCCGACGGCGCGGCGGAGCGGAGAAGAAAGTGTAAATAAAAGCCGGGACGTGACGCGCTGCGGATGGATTTAGCCACGAGCGATATAATACGGCCATCGCCTCGGCTTGAAAGTCAATGAAAGTGTGAAAACCCCTGCTGCGGCGCCGGCAACCGAGCCCATAGGACAGTGGTTGTAAAAGCGAAACGGGCGTGGTTCGTAATTTCATTCATAACTCCTGCTCCAGGTGTCTCTCCACGCTTGCGTCAAGACTAACCCGACTATTCGAGAACGTTCGCCGATTTTCGAGAGGTTCCTCCTCCGATCAGTGGCCTGGCGTGAATTGCGATGTATCGATTGTTATGACATTTAAACATATGGTAAAGAATCGATTATTAAGGTTTTCGCTGCGAACACCCTGTTTATCGATCCTTTTCCATAGGTTTAAATGACCTAACAATCGATATATCGCAATTCACGCCACGCTACTGCCTCCGATTATTTCATAGCTCGATGCTGCCTCATACTGCCGTGCTCAGGAGGAACGCCGTATGAACATTCGAGAGTTACCAAAATTCCCTCCGAAAAACTGTTTATTTTTGAGGATAATTATGAATATTGTTCCTTCAAATTTTCACGAGTTTTAGATCAAATTACGAGCGAAATTGTCTGAGAAATTGGTGGACAAATATTCGAAAATTATCCTGAAAATTCGCAGTTGGCTGGGAGGAATTTGGCAACGCCTCAAGGCTCATACGGCGTTTTTCCTTAGCACGGCAGCATAGCTCAATTTGGAACTGTTGCAATTTCTCGAAACTTTACACGGAATCGTCAATTTTACCGGTGTTTCCAGCTTTATCTATAATTTTCTCGGGAATCGGGGATTTTCGTCGCAGTTTGAGCGATTCCTTGATCAGAGTTGATTATTTTCTTATCAATTTTGATGGCCTTCGTAACAGACTCCGGGCATATTTCGGAATTTTTCCCCGGAACTTTTGAGGAGTTGGAATTTTATTGATCGCGGAAACCCCGAAATATCGGGGAAAATAAACTGGCACCGATCTTATGACTATTGAATACGCCAAGACGAGATGCACAGTAAGAAAAAATATTCATTCGAGACAACAAGGAAACGATGATTTGTGTAGCAAAATTCATTGCGCCTCAATGATGATAGCAGGAATTCCGAGGACATTTCGAGGGGTGAAAATTTGTATAGTAAGGGAGTTGAAAGAACTTCTGAAAAAATTGCAAGTTTTTCAAACGGCATAAGATAAACAGGTCGAAAAGCTTCAGAGAGTTCAAAAAAGTTGATCACATGGTGTCATG